ATGGTTAGCTTAACGTGGAAATCTGTCTATACTTCCTCTTTACTCACTCATTCACTCTCTCTCTCTTTATCTTTCCCTCCATCTTTCTCTCTCTCTCTCTCTTTCATGTTTCATACTCATACTATCATCATGGCTTTCCTACGATATTCAAACTGTCATTATGTCCTTCCGTTTTTTGACTTTCATCTGTGCTCATTGTGGGGATTAACTGTGCTAAATGCTTGCTCCGTACACAATCATTAGCTGATGTAGAGGGGGAGGAGATGAACGACGATAGTCAAACGGGGTGTCCGGACCAGAAATGAAAACCCACAAATCCAATTAGCTCATCTCGTTGTTTCTTTCAACACACTTTATATGGCTTTGTGTATTTCATTTTCAATACACCCTTCTCTCTCTCTCTCTCTCATTCTCTCTCTCATTCTCTCTCTCTGTGCTCATTTTCTCTCTTATCCCCCTTCTCTACTCTTAATCGGTACTGAACCTTTTTTTCATTTGTATGTGTTAATGTCCGTTATGGAGTACGTGCATCTCACTTGTCTCCCGTTTTCACAGCTTCTTTGTACGTTGTCATCTCTTAAATGAATTGGCTTCGGCATATCCATCCTTCCTCGCCGATCCAAATGTGGAAAATAAATCTTCACAGCTTCGCGTCCGATCGTCCGTTTTCCGGGCCGTTTGCTTCCATTTCTTCATCTCTCTCACTTTGTACTTGTCTCTCGTCATGCCCATATTTCGAAGATCTCATCTCTTCTGGTGGCGTTATGTTGTCCTTTCTGTTCGTAGCGATAGACCTCGCTTAAGAAAACTTAAATATTTCTTTTTTTGTGTCTTCAACTGTCATAATTGCTTTAAGCTTGTGAAAGCACATTAACATTCATCTTTCTCCATATCTTCTCTTCTCGCCTTTCTCTTTCTCTTCTGAGCCCCTTCTATAGCTTTTCCTTCTTCGTTCCTTCTGTAGGTACTAAAGCTTCCATTATTTCTCTTTCTATAGTCTATAGACTGAGGTTAAGAAAATCCCTCTCTCCTTTCCTCCCTCCAACCCTCTCTTCTTCTCCCTTTCAACATCCTATCATCAATATCGTCCTTCAATTCTTCATGAATACATTTAATTCATTGTGTCATGCTTTGATCCAATATCATTTTCATTTTTATAATTTATATATCTTAAACTTACAATTAATATTTTGTCTGTTCATTTGATGTTGCCGACGCATGTTTCTCATTCAGCTTCTGGCCCCCCCTCTCCTCCTCTTCACCATTCCTTTCGTCTGTCCTTCCTTGTCAGCAATTTTTCTTTCAATTTCCAACAAAAATTGTTCTGTTTGATCCGTGTGTGAGCATCGTTACTTCTGTCGCTGCTCCAAACCAATAAATACTGGTTGAAACTACCCAGAAATCTATCAAGAAACGAATTTTTTTTTTTCGTAATTTGCCTTCTCTCATCTTTTTTGGCCATCAAAGAGGAGCATTTTTTGTTTTCATGAGCTACGAACGATTCATATCCGGATTAGATGGTAAAATAACTTCAAAGAGAAGAAACGACAAAAAGAGAGAGAGAGAGAGACACAAGAAGGGGGATGGAAAGAGAATTAAGGAAAAGGAGAAGCTTTCCTCCCCTGCTTCTTCCTCATCTTCTTCTTCTCCTTCTCCTTCTTCTTCTTCTTCTTGTTCTAACGTCTTCATTCCTTTCATTTGATTCTCATACTTCCCAACAGATCTTCTTCTTCGTCTTCTTGTTGCTTTTCGAACTTGTTGAAATTGTCTTACTAGAGAAGACAATATACACTCCAGCTTTAACTGCCTGAAGTTCAGAAAAGAATTTTTTAAGAAAAAAATGACGAGACGTTTTTCGTCCTTAGCTCCAAAGAATCACTGGGGAATTAAAAAATTTCATACATACATACACACACAACTGTCTAAATAAACTCTTTAGCTTGAAGTTTTCAAATGAAGATTAGGTTTGCTGTTGAATTTCTATGTGAACTTGTTTTTTACTTTCTTTCCAATCATTTCATAGGACCATAGAGAGAGAGAGAGAGGAGAGAGAAGCTGAAACTACCAGCCCTCAAAGTAGCTTCTGGCTCATCTTAAGCTCTGTCGGCGTTTTTTTTTGTTCTTAATTGGTCAAATATAATTTTGATCAATAAGAGTTTATGGCTAAAAAAAAATGTGTTCGGGCAATATAAAAAACTTTTTTTTCTGCTTCCTACCCTTTCTTGTAATTCTAAGAGTTCGAACATCGAAGCTTGTCCTCAGGAAACGCATACAACTGACACTTGTACTTCCAAGAGATTGTCTGAAGTTTTTTTCAATTTGATTGAAATACGAATTAAATGATTATTTCCTTTCTTCGTTCTCTTGTCTCTTCGTTCTCATAATCGTTGGTTGTTCCCTCCTATCTGAAGTCACTCAAACTACCTCTACTAGCATCTGATTCTATTGTTACTAATACTCATTGTAAGAGTTTCTTATTAAAAGCAACTGAGAGAGAGAGGGAGATGGAGAGAGATATAGAGAGAAAGAGATGAACTAATAGAGAGGGAGAGTAGAGAGAGAGAGAGAGATAGAGAGAGATAAATTACTTCATTTTATAGCTTTAGAACATCGATGTAAAACATGAGAAAACCCTAAAGTTCCATGCGGTTGCTATCTACAAACCTAAATATTCATTTTAAAGACTCAATAAGGGAGAAAGAATGAAAGGATGAGAGGGAGATAGAGAATTCCAATGATGGTCAGAAGCAAATGAGAAAAGATGTAACAAGCTGTTGTTTCTCTCTTTGCCGTACATGGCTTCAATACGGCCTTATGCTCTAATCACTATGACAGATTGCCTTAGGCTATGGCAAACTCACCATAAAACGATGCTGACTTGGATGAGGAATGATTACTGAATTTCCCTCTGTCTGCTGAAAAAAGAAAAAGCAAAGAGAATGTGAGTGAGAGAGAAAGAGATAGATAGAGATAGATAGAGAGTAGTAAGAACACGATTTGAATGAGCTTCAACTGCTTTATCCTTATGGTTCTCTCTCTCTCTCTCCCTCTTTTTAATTTTCTTCAAGTCGATTGCATATTCTGAAACACCAAAAGCTCCAGAAGGTATCAATGAGCCGAACTATGATTCATTTAATATTCAAATTTACATCTTTTGCACTTGTTTCCTCTCTTTCCCCCCAGTTGAATGCAATTCCATATTTGGGAGCATAATGACATTTTATTTTGAGTTTTTGTCCTTCAAAAAAAGTGCTTAAAATAAAATTTAATTAATATTTTTATTTTTTCATTTCATGTGCGATCTACAGAGAGAGAATGAAGAGAGATAGGTAGACTGGAGGGAGAGAGGGATATAGAGAGGGCGAGACTAGTGTTGTTGGAGGGAAAAGTGTGCAAACTAACCAAATGTTAGCATTTTACTCTCCTGGCTCTGGTAATGAATGGAGAGAAACAGAGAGAAAGAGAAAGAAAGAGAGAGATAGGAGAGTATGTCATTAGTACAAGGAGATGGGCGCTCATCCCTCATCCAGGTTTCCATGTTTTTGTTTCAAAATACTTTTTTTTTGTGTTCTCTGCCTATTTCCATACAAAGTAAATCTCTTGCTTAATACATTTTCAATAATCAAATTGTCTTAAAGACTCATCTAATTTGAATATTCCATATACGGCAAATGCCATTGTTGATGTATAGTTTCGAGTGAGCGGTCGTGATGTTACGATCAGTATCACTACCTTACCATGTGCTTTACTTTTCCATTTCTCCTGTCGCATTGAAATTAGCTTTTCCATGTTCTTTTTTTTTAAGTTTTCGTTGTTTGTTTACAATCCCTTTTTTGTTTTATTTTTATATGAGGATGTGAGAGGGACATGAGATGGATAGAGAGAGAGAGGGAGGGAGAGAGAGACTCAAAAAGAGAACGAATAAGGTCTGAGAAAGGAGGAGGTAGGCACGGCCCTTCAAGTAAGGATTTGCTCAACACTACTATTGAAAAAAAAAGGATGTGAATTAGGAATGTGTTTCTCTAGGAGAAGAAAGTGTACAGAATGCTTGATCGAAGGACCACCACCAGGATCCGGCTATGAGAAGGAGAGACGAAGAGCAAAAAATCATTTTTTTCTGTCTCGGATCTTTGTCAGTTTGAAGATTCGTGGTAGATAGTGACTTCTCTTTTCTTTGTTTCCATACACTCTATTACATACTCTTCGTGCATTCTTAATTTTTTTTTGTTGTTTGATCCGAGATATTCACTTCGCAACTGTCTTGAAGCTCTCTTACTTTCATGTCATGCTCTATCTATCTTTTCCACCCACCGCTCTTCTACTCCCTCTCATTTCCTTCAATAGTTTATTTCTTATTCCTTTTTTCTTCTTTTCTGTAGGCTCAAGCTCAGCTCGTGTGTCATAGTGCGTACTGATCGTATGCTCGAATAGGAACAAGAATTGATTATCCGTATTCTAAGTGCTCTTTTCCATTGCCTTACTATCCATACTTTAAAATATTTTTTTTTATTCATTTCACCTCTCTTCCTCTGTCAACCATTTCTCTCTTTCTCTCTCTCTGGTTAAACTCTCTCTCTCTCTCTTTCTCTTTCTCTCTCTCACTCTCTCTCTATCTTACTTTTCCTCATTTTTTTCATTTTTCATCCGGTCAAAACAACATTTTCTATTTTTTTTTCCATATGAAAGTGATTGAAAATCTGAAAAGCTTTCTTTTCCTTATTATTTTTTTCTTTTTTTCAAATTAAATCGTATCGTGTTGTCCACTTCATATTTGGTTTTTGGCTATTTCCATCTCATTTTCACGTCTCATTTTCAGATTTATCACTGTATTATTCAGCCTATTTCAAGCTTCACACAGAACAAATGTGTTTTTATTAACAAAAAGAGTTTTAAGAAATCATTAGCGATCTTCAGGTAGTTAAGCTTATATCTCATTCATTCATATGATCAATCGCATGCAGTAGAAACAACGTGCTCAACAGAACTCTGAAACAAATGGAATGGAGGAGCAGCTGAAAGAAATAGAAGGATTGCTCGAGACTACGACCGATACCGTCAATTCAACACCACAGCATCGAATTAAAAAGGTTTCTTATAAATATTTGTTCAATTAATGTTATTCTCCTGCTCACTTCAGTATATCAAACTCGTTTTTCCCCATGTGGCACTGGTTGCTGTCGTATGTCTTTATGCAGTCATTGGAGCTTATATCTTTTACAGATTGGAATCGCCAAATGAAGATCGGGTAATTCATATCATTTCATTCTTTAATTCATCTGTTACATTGTCTGTCTCCTAATGAGTAATACATCCCAATTGCTATCATTAAACAGAAAATCGATTGAATTAGCATAAGCAAGGGGGGTACACGTAACGTCAAACGTACATTCGAATATTCATTTTTCAAGATTTTTTCATGAAAATCGGTTGTTCTACCTCTCAACAAGCATCTTACAAATCAATTTGTAAATATTTTTATTTTTTTTTTCAGTTAAAAGCAATAGGAAAAAACAATATAGGCGATATGAGGATGCGTATGCTTGATCTTGTGAAACGTAAGTCGTCTCATCATTATTACGAAATGCTCATTCAAATTATTGATTTTTAGGTCGCGATCAATCCAAACGGGTATGGAAAGACTCAATAGAAGAAGAATTATATAGGTTCAATGATAAAATATATAAAGCTTTTAAAGAACAATATGTCCGGTAAGATCTCTTAGACATGCATGCGGTTGTTGAACGTCTGCTCATCTTTCAGGTATCCGGATGTTCGGGTATCAAATCTTCATTTGGATGCTGATAAAGATGATCCGGATAGAACGAAACGACATAGGTACACACATAATTAACATTAATTATGATTGATGATGTCTATTTAAGGAATACAAAATCAAGAGCTGATAGAGGTGAAAAGATGTGGACAGCTAGTAGTGCTCTGTTCTTTGCTGCAACAACAATGGCTACTATTGGTTCGTTTATCTTTTTGCTTTTCAGTTTATTGTTTTTCTTTTTTTTTTCTTTTTTTTATACTTTTCAATTCATCTTTCAATCTTATATTTTATTCTTTCAAAGTAAACTTTGATCATTCGAGCTTCCAATCCTAATTCTTAGATCAATGACTTTGATGACGTCACAACTTGTTAATATTAAATGAAACTCTCCCCCTGAATTCAAGTAAATGACGACATAAAAAAGGACATGAAAGAAGAAAGGGATAGAAATGATTACAATCCTTAAATGTTGTTTTGTGTACTAACATTTTCCTTCTTTTCAAAATATTTAACTATATACATATAGTATACTATTTATATTATTATTATTTTAGGTTATGGAAATATCGTTCCAGCTACCTCATCCGGACGTATAGCCTGTGTTGTCTTTGCGCTCTTCGGTGCACCATTAGCTATCATAACCATTGGAGGTATAATCATACTCATAGTTACACATGCACATATGATCATATTTAGATTTGGGTAAATTTCTCTCTGAATGCACTATATGGCTTTATAAACAAATGAAGAAAGCAAAAATCGTTATAAGAACACGATGGAAACGATTACGTGGCTCTGCCAAAGGTTCCGATACATCTTCAACTCTTCTCATATTCACATGTATTTCAGAAGATTGCGAAGATCAATCAGATAAGTCATCAACATCAACGCTAGACTGGGAGGAATTAGTGATGGATAAAACAGAAGTTCCTGTCCTCATGGTTTTTACTATATTATTAGTTAGTTTGTTGATTGATGGCATACATCTAATCCCATTCTTATACAGCTGTACATAGCGTTTGGTGGAGTTCTGTTCTCTTTCTTAGAAGGCTGGTCATATATGGATGCTTTTTATTATTGTAAGCTTTCATTAGGTGTCATCAGTCATCAACCTATACGTTTCAGCTTTCATATCGTTAACCACAATTGGGTTCGGTGATATTGTACCGGAAAATCATGAGTAAGACTTGTCTCTCTTAAAATATTCAAATACTTAATCATGTATTGCAGTTACATTGTTTTAATGCTTATGTATCTTGGCATAGGTTTAGCTGTAACAACTATGTGTATTGATTTAGTCGGTATTCAATATATTCAGAAGATTCACTACTTCGGAAGAAAGGTATATTATTCTTGAAGTCCCCATATTTCATATTGTCTTTTATAGTTCCGTGGAACTGATCTTCTGCATTTATTAAAACGAAAGAGAATGATAGAACGACGTCTAGCTATGGGACAGGGCGAAGAAATTCTTCAAATGTACATGCAACAAATGCAACAACATATGTAAGTATAGTTCTTTCTTTCTATTAATATTTGCTTCTTTGCAGTCCTGAGACGCCTATTGTTGATGAAACGTTTGAAGAGAAATGTCCTAGTCCAGAGTAACAAACATCCTCATATATCTCACATGATCATCCTTATTCATTTTCAGATGGGCTATAGATGATTCAATCATCAGAAGTCGGTGTAGTATTACACTTCCTCATTCAGAAAAAGTGCCTTCTCCTAATGTTCTTTCTATTCGAAGGTATCAAGAATTCTGCAATAACATATAAAACTTGTATTATATTTTCAGTTTCCGAACTCCTAGTTTGTATAGTAATTCTTCGGCCTCTGGAAGGTCTATGTAAGTTTCTATTTTTATATATCTAGTGATATCATTTTAATTCGACGTTGACACCGTGTCGAATAACCCAAGTTCAACATTGTATCGACACTGTATCGAATCGTCTGGATTCGATACATTCGACACGGTATCGACAAATTCGACACATTCGATACATTCGATACATTCGACACGTTATCGACACAATCGACACGGTATCGACAAATTCGACAAATTCGACACATTCGACACGGTGTCGACACATTCGATACATTCGATACATTCGACACGGTATCGACACATTCGATACATTCGACACGGTATCGACACATTCGACACGTTATCGACACATTCGACACAATCGACATGGTATCGAATCGTTTGCATTCGACACGGTATCGACAAATTCGACAAATTCGACACATTCGATACATTCGACACATTCGATACATTCGATACATTCGACACGGTATCGACACGGTATCGACACATTCGATACATTCGATACATTCGACACGGTATCGACACATTCGATACATTCGATACATTCGACACGTTATCGACACATTCGACACAATCGACACGGTATCGACAAATTCGACAAATTCGACACATTCGACACGGTATCGACACATTCGATACATTCGACACGGTATCGACAAATTCGATACATTCGACACAATCGACACGGTATCGAATCGTTTGCATTCGACACGGTATCGACACATTCGGCACGAATCGTCTGGCCTAGAACTAGTGAATTAAATATTGGCGTACAGAACTGTTGCATTCTTTCTTAGATTCCAAGATTCAAAATTATTTTTTTTTGCAGGATGTATAATCGTTATGGTTCGCGTGGCGCTTCGTGGGATGAATCGGGTCCATCCCTTTCCGAACACTGCTCATTATCCACAGAGCCATCTGTATATGCTAGACAGGTAATTGTGTTTTTGAGTTTCGGGTAGAGATCATTTTCTTAGGCTTATTGGGACAATTATCAATCACCAGATCCTTCAGTTACATCTTTCGAATATGAGTTTCCCCTTCCAAGCCCGGATTATGCCGAAATCGGTAAGTACTGAAGTTGTTGTCTGTTACATAGTGCCCTTTTCAGCTGCTGAGGTGCGGCGGTCGCGTCGTTTATTATCTTGCCCAGCCGCCCATTTCGCCTGTCCTCCTTCATCTGTAAGAAAAAGCTCCCTTCACAACTTTATGGCTTGTGAAAAACAAGAGCTTGAACCGCTTTTTTCCCAGTCTCTCGATAGCTTCTGCATTTCCGAACCCTTTATGTTATCTAAATTAGCTATGCAATGTGATATTATGGATCGATTAGAAGCAAGCCTTTTGAGGTTCCAATCTCCACGAGCTACCCAGCTTTCTGGAGAGCGGATACCTTCGCCTGATTTGCATTACCCCATATTGACGAATGTTCCCAGCGATGCTGTGCATGTACCACGCTTGTTTTTACCTCCAGATTCTCAATCACCAACATCTCCAACAACAACAAATAGAAGTACTCGTCGATCTTCTTCTCGCTTCACTTTTCGCTCGACGTTGTTTCCTATCCCGGAACGACGACCTTCTTCACACATCGAATCTCGCGAAGAAGGTCCTGAGCCTTTGTTGAAACGCAAAAAACGTGAACGTCTCGCAAAACTATCTGATCCTCTGCATGATGTTGATTGGCTTAATATATCTCCGAGGACTCGAGTCCTGAAACAGCTTGTTCGTGATGATCTTCCTACGCTATTCGATCATGTTCGTCAATCATCTGGATTATCGTCACCTTCGGTTGCTTCTCCACGCGTTGTAGTAACTGATTCTGCTAGCAGCTCTCCTTCCTCTGTTGTCCTTGTTAGTCCCAGAAACGTGAGTACTACTATTGCATTAATTGAACGCTTCAAATATTTACTAAAAATGGTATGCGCTTCCGCTTTTTTCTGTCAGCTATCTGTGAATGCTTTTGCTTCTAACCTCTATGTCATAGCATGCCATGAACGGCTGTACTTAACCTCTATTTCCGCATGAAGCTACGGATTGGTAATGACAACGCCAGTGTCTATGAAGAAAAACAAAAACTCTATCCATGTTTTATTTCGAAATACTATGAAGGTATCTCTTTTCAGCCCATCGGGTTAGCTTGCATGGAAGATTGGGATTCATATATTCAAATGCTAGAAGAGTATGAGAAGCCATATGAAAGGTGCGTTTACATTCTTTATCATCAGCAAGTTAAAGATGATTATATGATAATCACTGCATCAGTTAGTTGAATGAGTTCTTTGTCGAAAATTTGCTCAAAAGCGATTTATCGAACGAGAAAGAGATGTAAGAATAGCACTTGTACTAGATTGCACTTACTCAGTAAGCCTGAAATGTATTAGTTGAGCATGAGTATCGATTCTTAAGTCAAATTTTGGTTTTTTAAATTTTTATAATTTTAAACTTGAATGTTAGAAATTATATGTTTCATATATATATTATATATTTTACAAAAAAAAACAATTTACCAACAAACAGAGGTCAAGCCATTGTCGAGATAAGACCGACGGAGCTTCGAATTGAAACGTTGCCACTACTGTTTGGATTATCACCTGTTACAACACCTACCTATCTTCTATCGCCACCAAAAGATTTTGCTCCATCGCCTATGCCATCAGAATCTTGTGCCATGTCAACTACAACATCTCCCATGGAAGCTATCTATCATCTTCCGCAATCACCACCAAGCATCTTTTCTGCTGAAGTTACATCTTCAGTACAGCGCATGGCACCCTATATATCATCTCCTCCACGCGCCGTATCTCCGGCTGCTGTCAGTCTTCATTCTCCAGCAACATTAGTGCATCCACCACCTGAAGTGCCATCCATATTCTTGGAATTGGAAGTGGAAGATCAGCTGCATATGGAAGTGCATGAAGACGAACTCTTAACTACAAGACGTAACAGGTTAAAAACAATTTCTAATCTTTCGTCTTTTTTCCCTAAATGGAGAGTTATCTGCGTGGTCGTCTAGTGAATTTTTTTTTTCGGCTTTAACTTTAACGCTAAACTAGTTTATCCTCCTCAAAAAGCTTTTTTTGCAACACATCATACTCAGATTCTGAGTACATGATGATGATGACGTCATCATCATGATGCTTCATAGCTCAACGAATGTGGTAAATGGTGTTAAACATAACATATATTAATATTTAAAAAAAAAGCAAAAACATATTCAACGGAATGCTAATGTATTTGTGTTTTGACTGATGTGTCGTTATCAGCCTGTCCACAACTTTCACCTGTACTAATTGCATCATTTGGACTTTCCTTACTACTGTACTAGTGATTCGTATGACTTCTATCTAGATGTGTCGAGTATTTCATTTTCGTTTCTATTGAGTTATACACTCATCTTGTTATCTTGTGGTCATCGAGGTTGTGATTGAGATTTAGTTTTCGTGCAGTTTCACAGTATTCTTAAGTTCATCTTGTGGTTGTCCTACACTTGTTTAGTTTTGTTCTTTCACTCACTCACATACACACTCACACACACGTACACACGTACATACACACATGCACAAACACTCCCACACTAACATTTATACGCTCTCACTGTTTCTTTCGCTTTTTTGGTTTGGGTTTGTGATTGTACCGTAGCACTTTCACTTGTCTTCTGACTTCACTTACCTTTGATGGTTAGTATAGAAGTCTTTTCAGTCATGTAGCCGATTTACCATCAGAAGAAGAAAGTACCAGCGGCTTCGATCTAGACCTTGGTGCTTTCGAGCTTGTTGATTCCGGTCTTTCAGCAGAAACATTGCTCAATACAGAAGACCCGGTATGGGTTTATAATTCTATTTTCTATCCTGTCTATCTTTCCTTTCTCTAGTTAGAATAATTAGACATCTTTACCTTTTTCCTCCTTATTTGGAACACATTGACAGTTCTATTGATTCAGGTCATTTTCCACCAAGATATGCCTGTACACTCCGTTCATCATGATACGGTGCAGACAGAAGCAGCATTAGCTAACTTGATGTCTGCACCGTCAAGCATGTTGACTGGAGCAATTCCACCAACTATGGTTGAGGTATGTAAGCTTCTCACTGAAAAAGCTTCAGTTTGATAGTATTGTTGTCCATTGGTCTCACATAGAAAGTATATTACCGTAGTCGTATTGTCTGACACAACGTACATCCTTGTTACGTAGTAGTGTTAACCTCTCTCACGCACTCTCACACATGCACACACTAACCCTCTTAGATTGCACAAATCTTTCGAATGCAGAGAGATATCCTTTGAAGTTGATGTAGAAAAGACTGAAAACTTATAGGATAATTATTGCTTTGTGGTTGATGGTGAACGGGTACGTATGGGAGATATATTGGGGGATGATCAATGGTGGAGACATACTTCACGTCCAACAAAGGTATTCTGAGATGGAAATGAAGTTCACATAGTCTAATCATGATCATTTGCTCCTCCAGTATTTCTATTCGGAAGATCTACGACAGTTTCACCGTGTTAATTGTATAACAGCTAAAGGCAAAGTCATCACAGCCAAATTAGCCAGTGGAACTTTACAAGTAATCCTTTTTCAACTCCTTATATAGACGTGTATTTGTCCAATGTGATGGTGCTCTCTTTAGTTTTCTATCTTAGTTATATTTCCAATCAATAAGTTCATATATAATACTTCAATAGGTAAATCATCCGATAGCTTCATCCTCATCTACACCCCGATCATCAGTTAGTGGAACATCAACAAAGCCATCCCAAACGAATAAAGTATCCTTAACACACGTCTACAAAGTAGGATTCTTATCTCATTGATAATGATAATGATGATAAAGCTGAAGTTAACTTCTTTCGGCTTCGTCATTCATTCATCACAGTGACGTCATCTCATTAACAATCTTTTCTTCTGCAGGTTATTCGATTCTACTCATTCTGGAAAACTTGTACATCATTTCATCGTATCGTTACAATGATTGATAAGGTTTCCACTGATGATCGTAACACCAATCCAGCATTTAAAAAACGTCTCTTTGTTCAATATCTTTGGCGTAATGCCAAAGCTGTTGAGAAAGCACGGGTACAAAAGGAATTTGATCCACGACGACAACGTCTATTACGTTTCGTCACGGATTCAGCTCAACGCAAGAGGTTTCAGAAGATGTAGATGATCGTTGTTGTTTGAATGAGCTTTCTGCCATTTCTACGGCTATTTTTGAATTTTTTTTTATTTTTTCATCTCTCTCTCTCTCTCTTCTTTCCTTCATTTTTTAATTTTTTTTCTTCCGAATTTGGCATTTTCTAATTTCTTCTGTGTGTTTTGAGATATTCACTCTCCTATCTGCATAGCTCCTCTACAGACTGCTCCTCACTCTATCTCTCTCTCTCTCTATAAATTCTTTTCCTCTTTCCAACACCTATCTATCTATCTCTTTCCCTTCAACTCTTTCCAATTCACAATACTCTCAATTCATTCTTTCTCTTTCCCTTCGTCCCTCTCTCTCTCCCTCTCCATACTTTCTTCTTCCACAGTTCTCTTACTTTATATCCAAATCACACGGGTTCCCACTTTCCCCCCTGTCTATCTATATCAAGGGGAAGATTATGATTTCCTATTTCAATAGCAGAATCTCTATGTATCAGATATGCACAAGCCAATCTCAGGTTTATGACAGTTGTGCTTAGTTTTTCATTTATTTGTTTCCTTCAAAGCCTTTTGTACTTTCAAATATGTCTTTAGCCAAGAGAAGCATTCACGTCTATCATACATCTGATGCTGTCAATTATTCATTTTGAGTTTGTGAAGTAGAAAACGGAAGTTTCAATGACCGTCATCAGATGTCTGACTGATCGTCTTGTTTCAACAAAAATTCTTTTTTGGTTTTCTGTTTTACTGTTCTCATCCAAAAATTGATTTTCATTTGACAATCTCTTCCTCAACCAACCAATGATACGAATCTTTGACAACATGACATTTCATTTACCTTTTATATCCTTTTCCTTCCATATTCCCTTCTTTGGCTCTTTTCCTTTCTCTTCCTCACCTCTCTCCCTCTCTCTCTCTCTCTCCTTCTTCTACTCTTCCATTCACTGTTTGTTTTTATTATTATAATTATAATAAATAAAGATTATCTATTACTGCTTCCTTCTATGACGCGCTTCTTACGTTCTTCACACTCTGGACTTCTACTGTATGAGACATGAGCTTTTGTAATCTATGACTTGAACAGCAAACGAACGCTGCTTCTTCTCCTGCAACTCAACTAAAGCTTCATGTAAAAGCTTACCTCTTCATGATGATAATCATCAACAGAACAATCCTCTATGGGATGATTTAAGATTTGTCGAAGATGACACGTGTATGTTTGCTGTTATACTTGATGAATCTGAGAATATGATGAGACGAGGAAAGCTTCAAAGATTCATGACAATCGACAGGTATGAGATTACGTTGTGGACAGGTGACAGTGTACATAATGAATGGGAAATGTATGAAAGATTCTTATAATCATGCTCAAGACCACTAAGATTTCAAAAATATCATTACATCTATCAACCTATTCCATACTCTTATCAAGCATTTAGCAGTTCCCGAGACGAATCTGAAGATTCCATAATCGATTTCCCTGTTGAAGTAAATGCTTGTCCTATCAAGTTATGCAAATCAGGTGAGTCATATCCACATCAAGCATTCAAACTACTTGCCCTTTCTCAGTTCTGACAACAAGTGATAGTGTAGAAGAGGAAAGGAACATCCTATATCATTATGGAAATTCATGTGAACCTATCCCCGTGTTCTCGGTTGATGAGAAACCTTTGGATGGACCAAGCACTTTGACCAACACTCTCAGATGTCCTGTTAAATACATTAGCAAAGTCTGTATTCTCTCCCCTGTAGTAATTATAATGTGTAACATAGATTCCTCCATCTATGGTTGTCGACAACTTCTGTTTCATATGCGACGGTGATGAGGTATCCGAAGATGAAATACTCAGTGATCAGCAATGGTGGAAACAAACGAGTTGCTCAACAAGATTTTACTCTTCTGAGAATATGACAACCTTCCATCAGGTTTTATTCTTTTACAATCCAATTTGAACATCGGTTTATCAGGTTACCTTACTCACATGCCGAGGAGAAATGAGAGGAGCTTATCGATCAAGAGCTCGTGGTGCGGGAATTACGAGCGTTTCTCTCAATCAGGTTTATGAAAACATCGACATCGGTTCTTATTCATATACTTCCAGGTGTTCCGGGTTTCTCGCCATTTCAGCAGTTGGAGGACATGCACATCGTTCCATCGTATAGTATCAGTAATCAGTCCTATAACAGAAGGTATAGTCAACGAGTTATGCATGTAGTGATACTATACTGACGCTTCACGATATATCCGTGAAATCGGTTTACGTGAGAAAAAGTTATACGTGAAACGTTTTCACGTGCGTAATAAACGTGAACAGTCATTTCCATATGCTTGATGCTATGAAGCGGTTGTATCTTTCTATTCTCATTCAATATGATTTATTTTCAGAAGGAGAGAATTCCAATCGTTTCAAAAAACGAATATTCGTCCAATACTTCTGGAGACAAGAAAAGGTTCCGATCCCTCTATGACAAACAATCATTCATAATACTAACATTCAGCCAAATGACCGTGAGACGGTAACGAGAGAATATTTGGAATTCAAAATGAAATCTTCTCCGAGACATAGTCTTATCCCTCCGAGCACATCACTCACAACGAGGTATCTATCATGTTCATACTTTAGTTCTTTCAATATTTCATTATGATTCAGAAGCTGGTCTTCTCGTTCCCATTATCCAGGCTTAAATCCGTACAATTCGACAGCATCAACGTCCTCCTTAACATCACATGATTCGTTATCACCAAGGGTATGTTATCCCTCCATTAACCATATAAGCTATCCATCGCAAGACATTCCACCCTCCTCTCCATAGCTCATAGCTTGAAAACGTAAAACGTGCATATGTTGAGAGAGCAGTAAAGGAAGACAACTTCGTTTGTCGCTCTATCTCTCTCTCTTCCTCTCTCTCTGAACATTGAAAGACAAAGAGATTGTCTCATTGAGTAGCCATCGTTCATTTGCGAAGAAAAAAAAGTTTTCTTCGTCCGTTTGCCTCAATTCTTTTTTTCTCCAAAACTAATCCACCAAAATATGATGGCTCAACTACATTTAAGCTCACATTCATCAACAAAAAGTAAAAATGACAATATTTCCTTCATTTGTCTTTCGTTGTAATTATTATGGTGTCGGCAATTCTCTCCTTGCCTCCCTCCTTGCCTCCCCCCTCTCTCTCTCTCTCTTTCATTGAAGTTTGTGACAAACTACCTTTACAGGCACAATCGCGTTGGAATATATTGGGAAAAGCACTGAAATTCAGTCGGCCACGCATGAAATCATCTGCTGGCATACCATCAGCTTCATCATCATCACAAAGTCCCAACAGCAGCAGCATAAATAATAATAATAATCCGGCTGCTAGTATAACTAAGAGATATTCAGTTGATGATACATTACGTCGTCATAATCAAACAGATTCATGAAGATGTTGGAAGATGACGTGAATGAAAGTGTAGAATGAATGATAATCTTTCATCAGACTAGGTTATTCACTTGTATTGTAAGAGTTCATTTGCTATATCCTCCTAACTCTCTCTCTCTGTTGCATATGACGGTGTTCGATTGTGATTCGGTCAGCATCTTCATTCTCTCTCTCTTCCCCTCCCTTTGTACATTTGCTCAAAAAACCAATGAAAGTCATGAATGGGTCAATCAGTTTACTTTTTAAACAACATTTTATATATGTTTTATAATAATAATAAAAAAGAAAGAAATAATAAACTATTATATATACTATACATACATATACATTGAACGATTCATGAAGTCCTAACACACACACACAGACACACACAGGCATACACATGTGGTACGGCACGGGAGAAGAAGAAGAAGAAGAAGACATACAGACACACAACGTGAAATGAGAAACAATATGAAATTTTAGAGAAATAATATAAACTCTTCTCATCCGATTCCTGAGATTGGTTTTAGGAGTGTTAGAAGGAGGTTAAAGCACATTTCAATCACTGGCTTCACTGACTGTTCGATCAATCGTCAAAAACGAACAATCAGATGGACAAAATGCTTCTTTGAAAGATTCAAATGATTTCATGGTTGCGTCATCATCATCATCATCAGCGTTATACGATGGCGGATTCTGAATAGAAGAATGATGTATGTTGAATATGAAACATCAACAACAACAACAACAACAACAAGGACATGTGTTTCAAACAAGAACTTACTTCGCAAATATCATATTCATATTCAATAAAGTCGTCGTTAATCATTTCTACCTCGTCGTCGATGACATTACATGACATCTGCAATTACATTCAATGAAACTCTTTATCCCATTTTTTATTCTTTCAACTTCCCCCGTTCTAGTTTGTCACTTCCTCTCTATACCTTCAATCTCATTTTTTAATCTCTCCCTCTCCCTCCCTCTCTCTCTCTGTTATACAGCTCTCTTACTTCATCTGTTTCAACAGGAAACAGAGAAAACAACAAAAAAATCGTACCCTACGCGACGGAACGTCTAGCTGGCTCCTTATTTGTGGCGTTTGAGGCTTCTCGTTCGAAACGATGTTCCAACTCATATTCTCCTCGATGTTTTTGGTGTTGACAAAATCGAAACAAAAGAAAAAAACTTCCAGCCTGAAAAGGTCCATTTTGAGAAAATGAAGAAAAAAATTAGTTTATGAGGGGGGGGGGTGTAAGTCTTAGAAGACGAGGCAAATGCAGATGATGTAGGAATGGAGGAAGTGGAAGACACGGTAACGACGTATATAGACGAACATCTAATTTGAGGAAATTAATCTGAGATGTTCAGTCTTAATGATTTTATGACATGTTAAATCCTCTTTTCGTCAATGGGTCAATGTGAAAAGGGTGAACAGAAAGGGAAAGCTTGAAAGAGAGAGAGAGAGAGTGAGAGAGGGAGGTCAATGAGGAGAAGGGAATGGAACATTAAAAGGGAAAGACAATAAGCCATTCTAATTAATTGGAAGTGATTTATCCTCTTTATCAACTTCAGAAACTGCAATTAGCTCGATCACGCAGACGGGGGTAGAAGAAACTGATGATGATGTCTATGTGTGTGTGTGATTTCCAAAAAAAGGAATGAAAGACGCATTTAGAAATGTGTAACGAGAATGACGCAGGATAGGATAGGATGTCTTGAGTTGCCTGTGAGTGCCTTGTGATGACGATAGCTAGGCGATTTGATGTCATGAAGGCGTTAAAGTTTTAAAGAAAGTTGCAAGTTCTTAGATAATGTGTGTGTGAGAGAGAGAAATATATAATAATGCTTTTGATCTTGAACATGAATAACGTGAATAACTAACGATCATTGCTGCTGCTACTTGACACACCATGATGATCATATAAGTCTCTAAACGCATCATTGATTCCTTCATTGTCATTATATCATCGAATAATTGAACAAGACGACTATATTCTTCGACGAACGCCTTCAGACGAAGCTCACGCTCCATGCTGTCTGAAGGTGTAGCCCCTGGCAATAGAAACGGCAACAGCCTTCTGAAAATATTATTGTTATTATTATTATTAAACTAATGAATAGCAACATTAGTATTTACAACATCAACTCAATAGCGACCATAAAGAGAGAGAGAGAGAGAGAGGGAGAGAGAGAGAGAGGAAAGTCCTTTACAAAGAGAATTCGAACGTGGATACAAGATAGGTTGTCTAGCAAGGAAGTTAACTCCAATAGAAAGTGAGAGATAGCATGAAAGATGAAGAGAGAGTAAAGAAAAAGCAAGATGATATAGAGAGTTTACCTTTGAATTATCGAAATTACTTAAAAATCATATTTGTAGGTGAGAAATGGAGGGAGAGATGGGTGCAAGAGAGAGAGAAGGAGAGACGAGGAGTGTAATGAGGATGAAAAGGAGTGAAAGAAGAAAAGTGTTTATAAATGTAATTTGAGATTATGTCACTTTTCATTTCATTCTCTCACACTATCTTCTGCTCACGAAAAAAAAGAAGAAAAAAAAAAGAATTTTAAAGTTGAAAATGTTTTTGATTGGAAGATCTCTCCAACAACATCTCATTCATATATGGTATGGAGAGACATGAATGTAATATACGACTGCAAAAATTCATTTGTGAAAAAGGTTCACTAACAGAGGGCCAATGTTAAGAGAGCTGTAAGACGGCTGGGTGGCCAGTTAATCCGAGACTCCTTTTTAGGCAAATGGGTGCATAGCAGACAGAGAGCCAACTGGCAGGACACACTGCTCTTCTAGACGTACCACCACCAACAGCAGCAGCAGCAGCAGCAGCAAGCAGCAGAAGGAGGAGAAGAAGAAGGAGGAGGAGTTGCTGGCGACCGCCTTTAAGCTTAGCAGTTAAAAACTAAAACGACAAGAGCATTTATCATTTAAACGAAAAAATATATTAACTATAACTCATCAATCTGGCTTTTCTGCCAAAAAAGGATATGTGTGAGTTAGTAATGGTCACATAGTGAGTGAGAGTTTGAATGATGAAAGAGTTAGGTTAGATATATGAGAGAGAGAGAGAAGTATGGAGAGATCGAGAGAAAGAGGTAGATAGAGAGGGAGAGAAAGAAGAGATTGTTTGCTACCATGATGGAATCTATTAAAAGCCAAAGACTGCAATGGATAAAGCGGTCCGTTAACAGACATAAGCAGTTGAAGTATGGAAATGATGAAAAACAAAACGAAAAAAAAACTTTTTTCTTCTTCTCTCTCTCTCTGTTACTCTCATTGTCTCTCTGTGTGTCCATTTGCTTCTTGAAGAGACCATCTAATGAATGAAAGAATATTTAATAATAAACTGTTGAAACGATGACTCTTTCATGTCATTTTGTGTCAATTAAGTTTCTAATAGATCATCTTGTGGCTTGTACTGATTATGATGGATTAAGCGGCTTTTGACTTTACCTTCATCTCATCATATCTCACTTCTCTTCCTTTGCTTCATACATTCATATCTCTCTCTCTCTCTCTCTTGCTATAGCTCTTCCATCCTCTTTATGCCTTTCAACTCAATATGATCACATTAAGCAGCTGATTATGCCTACTGCTGTTGCTGTCAGGCTTTTCCTTCATCTTTGCCTCTCCGACCGATGAAGATGATGAGTATGATGAAGATGACGATGTTGGTTGAATCAAGCAGCGACAAGAACAATAAAAATAATTTTAAAACCATATTGCACCTGTTGCAGTATACAGCAGATGAAGTAAGAAAGGAATGAAGCTTGAAAGTCATAAAGAGGTGAACAGAGAGAGAGAGAGAGAGCGAGAGGTAGAGAAGGAGGGAGTCAGAGGAAACGAAACGAAACTAGAAAAGAGATCTTTATGTACAGATAATGAAAAAAAAATAAACAAAAAGTATCACGACAACTCGTATGAAATATAAAAATAATGAAAGACAAAGAAAATTGAATTCAAATGTGTTTTTGCATTTCTTCAACCTCGGACTGTATTGAGGAAGCTTCCGATTCCACTCAGAAGATTACCTCCACCCGTCTGTTTCTTATACTCGCGAGCTTCCTGTTGGAAGCGATCTTCTTGAAGCTTCTCAAATGCTGAACACTTCTTGTCCTTCAGAATATTAGGAATCTGAAATATCATTGATAACTATCTCAAGGTGTTCAGGTCAACTTACGGAGTTTGCTGTTGTTGCAGCTTCAAACAATAGATTCGTTTTAACCTTGGCACCTTCAATCTCATAATCAACGACAGCATGTTGACAAGCTAAGAGACGATCTGGATCTCTCTTGGATACCCAGAATTCAAGTAATTCCGAATTGGTTGGAGTATACGATCCTTGCTAAAATCATTTGCATTTCATAAACAAAACTTTTTTGAAAGGAATCCTTACATCAATGCTATTGGCTGCTAACCATTCAGCTATAATTGCCAATTTGAAAGCTCGACCAAGCAATGGATTGTCGATTTGAGCAAAAAATTCTTTCTCCAGCTATAAAAGACAATATATTTTTTCTATTTTTCGACGAACAAAAGGTAAGTGTCTGTCAAGGAAGAGAGAGAGAGAATGAGTGAGAGAGAGAGAGACAGAGGGAGGTAGGCAGAGGAATAAGAGAGAAAGCCCTTCTCACCTCAGGACGCGTTTGACCTCTTTCATAGAACTTCATCCAAACATCCACAGCTCCTTGCTTTTGCCAATAATCTTTCTGCCAAACAGACCTTAATGGGAAAATGTAAAAAAGGAAAGAAAGAACAAGAGTTTTGTACTTGGAGAATGCTGAACACATTGTGAAGTTCGGGTCCTCTGGTGGGGGACAGAGCTTTGTTGTTAAACGATAGGTTCTTTCTCCTGTAGCTCTGCATAAGTTTCCTTCCGTGTTTTCAAGAAGTTTCAATTGTCTAAGATAGCAAAAGGTTATGAAGAGAGTGGAGAAGCTCAGTGCGTACCTGGTGTTCTTGCACCAATCACAATAGAAGCACTCTCTTCCACATGTAGCCACATCCATACAACGTAACTTTCCAATTGGTTGGATGGAGACATCTAACTTCATAGCTAGTTTGTTAATGTGAACACCTATGTAGATCATGGATGAGATGTACGAAATGCACTGAGTATATACCGGGTGGGAGAGTTACGTCAATTCCCATATCGAAACAATCTGGCCAAGTCAAATGGACTGTTTCTCCTTCGCGACTTGATGGATGAGAGAACTGAAACAATCATTCGAAAGTTCTTTCTGAGTATATCCTTATGATGTACGACTTCCGTGAACTTAATGCTTACGTGGACATCACGTAATGTATTGGGTCACGGAAATCATTCGTCAGGTAAACAAATGCAGCGAGCGGTTGCATTCTGGAGACTTGAGTTCAGCATTGAATGCTTTGCTCATTACAAATACGTCACAACTCCGAGAGGTTTTAGTTTTTTGAATATAAGATTGACTTACTGATGGGTTTGAAAGCTTGATAGGCTGAGTGCATTCTTTACCAGTCAATTCTTTACAACAAGGAGCTGATCGAGCATCTTTCAAACGAGCAATGAATAAGTTTTTGGAGATAACAGCCTTGAATCAGAGCATGTGGATCAGAATGAGTGATGATGACCAACCTCGTAGCTTCGATCTCCCAGCTTACGAACAGTTCCCGTTCCAATTGGAACATCTTTATCGTTGTAGACAACAGTGTTACCATTCTTGTCAGCAACTACCTTTCCAACAGATTTTCCTTGAGCATCATAACATTGAGAGACTCCTGGGGTTTCAGCTAGAACAATGAGTTTTGAACATATTTGTTTGTCCGACGCTTACCCAAGCAATGATACTTCTCACTGCGTCTACCGAACAAGGATTGGGCAAACTCTCCAGCTTGTCCCTTATCGGTTCCAGCCAAGAATGCGTCAGTTCGCTTACCATTTTGGGAAATAGTGTACTCATATTGTCCTTTCTTTCCTTCTTTCTTCAATATCATAATGACCAAGATTGATGATGTGAAGGAATTACCTTGTCACTGTACGCCAATGTTCCTTCACCTGTATGGTTGTCATGTGAACTAGGATTGACTTTGAAGTCGAAACGGTCATTAGTAGCTTCAAAGTCAGTAGTCTGTAACAGACAATGTAATTGCTTTAACTTGGTTTTGAAGTCTGACTTCAGGATTCTTAAGATCTCCTCTCATAATCGTATCCAAATCATATTTTCCATCTGCTTTTAAGAACGCATGACGTCCTTCTTCGTCATCTTTCACACGAAGTTGACCCCTTAAACCGGCCAATTATATTGTTAAAGCTTCATTGAGATTTACTTATGTCCTTCATATGTGGCAATTCCTCCTTTTTCTCCAATCTTTTGTACTTGAGCTCTTTTGCCATCTGGAGTTTCGGCTGCTGCGACATTTCCAGAAGCTGAAGCTTCGAACCGCTTTTTTGTGTTTAATAGCTCCAGAATGACTTTTTCTTTGTCAGATGCATCGAGAGAGATCTGGAATAAGGAATATTTGATTGTATTTCTAACGACATGAGATTAAGGCTGTGGGGGGATGCTGTGGCTTGAAATCTTCAAAGTGATGATAGTGTTGCAGAAAATGGTTGAGAGATTGGGGGAAAAACTGCTTTGTGATGTTCTTACCCGCTGAACTTCCTGCTGTTTCTTATCCAACCATGTAGTATCAGCTTCAATATGCTTTGTTTTATTGTTTATAGAGACATGGTTGGGTAGAATCTGAAGAGCTGTTGCCACAGAAAGCAGTGGCACCAGTAAGGTCCACTTCATGACTCTGTCTGAGAAAATGTAAAATAGAAAATGAAAAACTGTTTTGCTGTTAAAATGAAAGAAAAAACATTTAAAAATGATGTGAAAGTGTATGAAAACGAGGAAATAAAGATGAAGAGAGAGACGTGTTCGTATATAGGTCGATTAGGGATGGTGGATGGTAAGGCGGATAGGGTTGGGGGAAGGGGGGGGGTTTGAGAGGAGAGGAAGAATAAAGATAAAATGAATGAATGGATAGAAGATCTGACGACTAGCTATGGAAGAAGTGGAAGGTATTGATCATGACTGATCTTCTTCATTTTCCACTGCGTTGTCAATGATGAGAGTCTCATCGTCCTCTATCAATGACGATCGTCCTCGACATTGACGTCATAACGATCCGTTAGAGACTTTATATTATATTTTCATTACTTAATCACCTTATTTGTTTTTCAACAACAAACAGAAGAATTTGATTTGATTATAAAATGGAACACAACATGCATATCATGTGGATCAGATGAAGCTGGAACTATGAGAAGCCGGATAGTAGTAGCTAGTAGACTGAATGAAAACTGAGAAAGGCTTAAACATGCTGTACTTGGAACAGCTTTGAACTGAGGAAAGGATAGAATGACCAAGGCAATCTGCTTGTTCAAGGCTTTGAGAAAGATTGACAGAGAGGTGGGTATCTAGAGAGAGAGATACAGATTAGGGAAGGATGAGAAAGAGAGAGAGAGAGAACCTCCAATTATGGATGACGAACAGGTAGAAATAGAAAGGAGGACAAAATGAACAATGTGGTCATCAAGCGACAACTGCTCATGTCAATCCTCAAATCCAGTCACAAAAAAGCATTTGGTCAAGTTTATGATGACAGCAGAAAACGTTGACGGACCTGGAGATAATAAGGACGATTTGAAATGAAGATGTTGAAAGGCTGTGTCGGTTTTTCAATGTCCATTAACGGAGGAAAATCCAAGAAGATATGCTGGTTTTTAAGATGAATGACATGCGAATTGACTAGATTTTTATAGCTTGAGGCCATTTCGGTATAGAAGAAGAAGAAGAAGAAGAAGATTGAGAAGATGGAGAAGATCATGATGTAGGAGTGTGCTGCAGAAGTTGATCAACTCTCTCTTCTCCATGTCTATCTGTTGTCATCTTGATTCAAAGCTGCATCTATCTACCGAAAACTAAGGATTGAATGGCAGATCGTGAAAATGATGTAAAACGGATGCTCAAATGGATACTACTAGTAGAGGTAACTGTTATGACAGTGAAAGCTTGAAAGTAAGGAACTGTGAGAAGCTCAGACAAACAACCATGATTCTAGCCTTGTGATCCTTTTAAACAACTCATGTGATAAAAAAAATACATTAAAGTCTGTTAAAATAGGAATTGAATGTAAAAGATGACTCATGCATCCTTCACGGAGATTCTAAAGGACGCACAACTGCATTGAAGCTTAATTGTGATGTCACGGCAGTCAGATGCCGATGTAATCAGATGATGAGTCACATCTGCTTGAAACGAGTTGAAGCTTTCTTTCCACAACAGCTTACAAGAAGTCGTCCGTCTACTATGGGCAATCTTTCCATCTCAAGACGATCGCCAAAATCTGTTTTTCTCATTTCCAAGGCGACTGTGGAAGGGGCTGATCATGTACACTTGGGACCATAAATGTATGGCACCCCTTTAATACTCTCAAAATTTCAATTTATTCAAGAAATTTTGGGTTTCTCGGAAGATCTTTCGAGAATGCTATCAAAACTTTCAAGAGGAAGTAAGTTTTCCATTTTTTTTGGCACATAGCCTGCCAAACATTCTTATCCGCAAAGTGTACGCAGGCACTGGATCACCGAAACGGTTTTTCATCTTCAACAAACGAGTCTACAATCGATAAACCTTTTATAAACTTATTTTCTATTCCCAATGAGTTGGCAACGATGATATGTTCAAGTCTGTTTGTTTCATGGAATGAATAGAGAGCCGTTGGTCTAGATTCCGCATAACCGTAAGGACACTCGTTTCACGGTGGAACGAAACACGTGCACAACCGATCAACAGCCAAGTTATATACGAAAAATGAAGCTGAACGATCACGCAATAACTATTCAGCTGAGAGAGAAATTTTTTTTCATTCCAACCTGACAATTGAAGTGATCGGTTGTCTGATGAAGCTCACTGGACGTGACATATCCCTCGCTTACCACATTGAGACACAGTTTTCATTTTATTCTTTTCATACTGTATTTGATGCTCGCTATAAAATTGTAGAAACTCTCATTGTGAGAGTTAACTGCTGACAAGGTAATGAGTAAACTGTGAGGTGATGATTGCTGTAATGAATTGGTATTCAAAACCCGCTAATCTCACGAAACCTATTTCTGAGTTGACACCGAAGGTACTTCACAGGACATACTATTTCATAACCACCTTTAAGCTAACTGAAATGTAAGGCATAGCGGATGAGAGCAGATACACTGACTGATTCATGGATGGGCAACTCAGGTATAACTCAAAAGAGGGTTAGTGGCGCCGGCAGTTAAGAACTCCTTCAGTTCATTGTTAAGACTGAAAGTAAAGATTATGAGAGAATTCCAATCAACGAGACAAGGTATGAATGAGTAAAACTTTAACTTTGTGAACGGGGGACGTTCAGCTACTCATTCAAGAGATCACTCAAGAAGGAGTTGCCTAGCCATGAACCCCAAACATGGCGACACCTACACCGAGGCATTCGTCTTTAAACT